CAATGTTTTGTCCATATCTTGAGTTCTAGACCTCATTTTAAGATGATTCCAATTGTGTTGTAAAGATAAGATAATAATCTATAACTTTGATGAAGGCACTATCCTCAAATTCTAACGTTTATTGAGTCATTTTCCTAGTAAACAAAGAGGGGGTAATATACTATTTGACTTTATCTCGATTATACCCTTGATCTTTTGCAAAAATTCCCACCTAGTCATTTCTTCTTCCTTCGCTCGCTCAAGCGAGTACACCGGTCACTTGAGCGAGATGGAACCCGAGAGTCCCCTTTTGTTTGAAGGCTTCATCGCTCAAGCGAGTACATCCGTCGCTTGAGCGAGGCATGACCCGAGAATCCCCTTTGTTTGAAGCTTTCGTCGCTCAAGCGAGTACACCGGTCGCTTGAGCGAGGCATGACCCGAGAGTCCCTTTGTTTGAAGCATTCGTCGCTCAAGCGAGTACACCGGTCGCTTGAGCGATGCATGACCCTTAGTCGCGCAAGCGATGTATTTTTCGCTTGAGCGATAAAGAACTCGAGAATCCCAAAATTTCCAGGTGTCCTCGCTCAAGCGACATATTTTTCGCTTGAGCGAGTTTTGCAGATTTTCATCAGTTCGCCATTTTCGAAATCCCAGTTTCAAATTTCTCAGTTTCAATCACTCAAATTTGTTCCAAATCAAAATTAAACCATAAATATGTTCAATTTAAGTTAAAAACAACAATTTTATTATATAATTCATCCTTAATTGAAAGAATTTCAACAATATTTCAATCTTTGCAATTGATGAATAGTAATCTCCAATTACAGACATTATGAATAAAACTAAACGTCTAACCCATACCTGATTCCTCAATATCTTATTACTCTCCTAATTTTGTATGCTCCTCCTTTCCTCCTTTCTCTCGAATTCTTCTTCCAAGAATTCTGGTGTCTCTCGGTTTATTCTTCAAGTTGGTCGTGAATTGTGTTGGTGTATGTTTCCAGTTTCCTCCTATTTATAAACTTACTCACCGACTTAATTCTTTCTAGGATTTTCTTCGCTCTCTTTATTCTCCACCGCCTTAATTTAATTCTGATTCTTCACCGACTTAATTCAAATGTATTTAGGCCACCACCGACCTTCGTTTCTCTTTTTTTTTTCTAAATATTTATTTACTCATTTATTTAATTTTTATTATTAAGATTTATTATTATTATTTGACACAATATTAACCTTGGATTTTATAATTTTCTTAAGACAAAATTACTATAAAAATCATGTTTTATTTTTATAATAACTCTACATAATATTCGGTACATATTTATAACTTACAAAATTTATTTATATAATTGATTACAAAATTTAGGATATTACAACAAACATATAATTGATGACTTGTTTCAAAGGTGTTTCGCTCATGCCTGGATAAAGATACCCAATCAAAGTGGCCTTATCACTCCAAAAATATAAGATTGTTTAAGTAAGAGAGACATAAATTCGTAAATTGATCACTAGAAGTAAATTACTCAAGCGATACAAGAATTCTCAAGAGATATAACTCTATTGTGTGGTAACTAAATTATAAGTTGAGACTCAATACATGTGTGAGAGATATGTGATATTGAGTTGAACATGAGATTAGTATCTAGAATTGACCTATATATTTAACGTTTGGTGTGAGATAAGTTGTCCTTAAATATGTGGTCTATTGATTTTCACTATCGTTCACAAAATAAAAGATACCAAGTTTGCTCATTTTATAATACAAGTGCAAATTTATGTCACTTTTATCAAGGAAACACATTAAAATGTATTTAATTCTTAATATTTTTCGTAAAAGTTAAATTTGGGGGTTTGAAAATATAAAATAAGAACTGTATAATAAAATTGAAAACAAAAAGGTAGAAACTGAAATCAAAAGAAGAAGATAGATTAATCCACGGATTCTCAATCAAACAATCTCTTATCATACACTAGTGCAAAAAAGGCTTTTTATGTCGGTTAAAGAGGCGACATAGATACAGGGGTCATAGAAAGTATGACTTTTTACGTCGGTTGTGATGAACCGACATAGAAAGTAATGGACTTTTTACGAAAATTGTCACTAGTAAGATTCAAACCCAATACATTAGAGTCTAGAATTAGACGAACCACTACACTAATACGATTTTTATTTATTTATTCATATTATATTTTTATTATACTTTATAATATATTATTTTATTATACTGTTTAAGAGATTTGTGTCTAGCAAGATTCGAACCCAAGTACCTTAGAGTTGGAGACCGATACTCCAACCACTAAATTACTACGAATTTCTGATACATAACTTATAAATAAATTATATTTATATACAAAATATATAAATACAAATATATTTATATGTTTTGATATATAAATATTTATATACTTATATATTTAATTTTTTTTATTTAATATACACTTTCTATGTTAAATTTTAACCGACATAAAAAGTTCACTATTTATGTCGGTTAAACTTTAACCGACATAGAAAGTACTTTCTATGTCGGTTAAAATTTAACCGACATAAAAAGTGAATTTGTCCACATACCATGTCGGTTATATAACAACCGACATAAAAAGTTCATAATATTATTACAAAAATGTCACCGTTCTATATACTATGACGGGTGGATTACAACCGTGATAAAATATCGTCATAGAATCATATTTTTCCACTAGTGATAGTTCTCTAAAGATTTCAATCCAAATTTGAATTATTAACTTATTCAATTAAACTGATTATACGAATTAAACCATAATATTATTTAATCTACTCTGTATCTAATAATGAAATCAAGATTCAATCAATTCCTAATTTGAATTCTAAAAACAACATAAAAAATTGAAATCTCAAGATGCAATACCGATATTAGAGAAGAGAATAACAAATTCTAAGTGAGAAACGTTCAATGCAAAACTTAATTCGACTTATTTGATTTTAATTTCATGAATTAATTCTCAAAATTTAATTCTTTATAAAAGAAAAACTCTAAACCAATTTAGATGAGTAAAGAAGAAGAATAAGAAATGTCAAAAACAAAAATAGAAAAGAATAGAGAAAAGAGAATTTAGAGCATTTTTAGTTTATATAAAGACTCTAAATTTTGAAATAAACGTAGCTTAAATGTGAGCTCTAATTAAGTCTATAAGCTCAATTACAAAAAATAAACTAATAAAAATAAAAATTAAATATTTATGAATTCTTTTACAAATTTTGCATAAATCTATCCCACCTTCTAAAAATTGCAAAAAATAATACAAAACTCCAAATCCAACAAATAATATATTCATTTCATAGTCCTTAAAATATAAAATCCAATAAAAAAAATCAACTAAAACAAACATCTTTTAAAAAAAGATATAAATGAAATAATAAACAAATATCAATGCAGAAAAATAAAAAAATATAGTAAAAAATAATACGTATTTAAAAAACTCTTATTTATTACAGGAAATACAAAGCTCAATGAAATAAATAAGAGAAAAAAATTTAAGACATGTAACAAAGACTAAAAATGTGTACAAAATATATATTATCATCTATAAATAATAAAGTTATACAAAAAGGAGGTATTATGATATTGAACTGTAACAACTATATTTAACTATATTTGTGACAAATTTAATATGATCCTAAATTTCATATATAATCTTAGTTACATATACTAAGGTATTAGGTATTGAATAGTTATTGTAAAAATTATTAATAGTTTACTTAAAACTATAAAAAAGATATGTCACGATAAGTAGTATTGTTAATGGTTGTCCTTGATCTATAAGATACTTAGAGAATAACGTATATATACTGATTATAATGTGATATCTAAATTTGTAATATAGTATTAATCTTTTAGAAATATATCTAATTATGATTATGATAGATGTGAGGTAAGGAAAGAAAATGTGTGTGAAATTGTATATGGAAACAAATATATATATATATATATATATAGATAGATAGATAGATAAATTATAATGTAGAATAATTAACTTATTTATTTTCTTATTATATAATGATATTATTTACTTATTTATATACATGAAAGAAAATGGTCATATAAGAAAAGAGAAAAACTTTAGAAAATAAACATAATCTAAAATACAAAAATTATATATATATATATATATATATATATATATTAGAAATAAGTTTTTGTTATACATACACTACTTAATTTAAATATAGTTATTATTATTAAATAAAAAAATTATATATTTTAAAATATGTACATCATAAACTTCAATAATTTGAATTAATTGTTATCTTAGTATGATAAATTCAAAGTTGTAAAATTACAAATGTGTGTGTAAAGTTTTAATTTAACGATGGGTAATTTGAAATTAATTAAATTTAATTAATAATAATAGGATAACTAAGAGAGGTCTCTACTCTTTAAAAATTATTTAAATTTAATACATAAATTATTGATATTTTCAATATATATAAAAATAAACTATATATTATTAAATTGAAATTATTACTTTTTTAATCAATATACATCATTACACTTTATATTACTAATATAAAGCTATATTAAAAAATAACATTAATAGAATGCCTAAATTTTGTGCTGAATTAAATGGCATGTTATAATGGAAGAAGAAGATGGACGATTTGAATACGTCTTGTGGGATCCCAATGGATGGAATTCAAACGTCTCAATTAAGCTCACAATTACGAAGACCAAATACCAACCTTTTTCTTCCACACAGCGCATAAATTAAACGTTACAACACTATGCACGTCACATCCACTATTATTGCTTCTCCTTTTTCATACTTTCAAATAATTATAATAATAAACCAATCATGTGCCCCACACACTTTCTACGCAACTCCCCCTCCTACCCTCCTCCATCTTTTCTTCTTTAAAGCTTCAAACTTCTCTATCATCCATGGCTCTTCAACCTCCAAGGTTTTAGAAGCTCTCAGCTAAGCACAAACGAGTGTTTTGGCCTTAAATTTTTGGTATGGGTAAGAATAAGCCTCATTTGCTTATGCTTCTCATCATCATCGTTGCTTCAACATCGCTTTCAGAAGGAAGGACACTTTCCTTAATATCTGGTCAAGGTAATTGTTATTTATACTTTGTCTCTCTTCAGATTCTTAGATTTACTCAATCTCATGTTTGTTCAGTGCTTTATATATTTGTTAAGAGTCATTATCGTAAAAAGTGATTGAATTTGTCTCAGGATGTTCTGATTGAATTATATTTCTTGTATGTGTGTGATGTAATTGCAGGGTACTCAAAGATTTTTGCAACTCTTGGAGTTGTATGCAAGTGCTGTGATGGGGTTGGAGGTGCCTGCACTAGTACATGGACAGAATCTTGCAATAATCTGCAGTGTTATCCTTGGAAATCACACTAGCTAATTGTATTTTTCTGTATCCTCTCTTGTCTTCCATTTCCTGTATATCAAGTTTTGAACTATTATATAAAATTATCTACTCTAAAGTCTGTGTTCTGTACTGTATAATATGAACAATTTGACTTTTTTAAAAGAAAAACTTTGAGACGTTTTCATGGTTCTTAGTTTGTGGAAAAAAATCAATAACAGACATTGATGGTTGTATGAACACCACATATAGTTTTTTGTGCTTCGGATTTGTGTTCAAAATAAACAGGTGAAGGGTAGTTATCAGATTTAATTGATGACAAGGGAAATTGACGACTCTTCAAATGTGGTTGACTATGACTTTTAGAGTTTAGAAGGATAAGGGACCTGGCTTCGACTGAAAATGATGATACGACTAATATTTTACTATCCTGAATATGACATGGGGAAATAGGAAATTTTGTTGGGGGAAAAATACAAATGGTGTTTCAATGTGGTAAATGATAAGTGTTTTATGTTTACACTTCATGTCATTATCTTTGATTCGGCTCAATCACAAAACACCAGACATTAGGACTGGATTTTTAGTTTGTTTTTGTTGAATGAAATATGTATAATAACAAAGTATAAACCTTCTACTTCCTTTATTTTGCTAAATAAAAAGGCTGCAAACCTCAATGCTTGAAGTTGTTTTCAGTAGATTTTAGATCACAATTGTTCCTAGGAATAGAGGACTGTGTTTTTGTCCATGTTAGAATCAAGATGTGAGTTATAAGGCAAGTGAAATAAAATTGGTCAATTCCCAATAAAAAGAACAGGACTTTATGTTATAGATGCAATACCTATACTCTGCATAATAAATCAATGCATAAGTTTGTCCATGTTAGAATCAAGATGTGAGTTTTAAGGCAAGTGAAATAAAATTGGTCAATTCCCAATAAAAAGCACAGAACTTTATGTTATAGATGATGCAATACCTATAATCTGCATAATAAATCAATGCATAAGTTTCCTAGAAAAATTTAACTGTGATGGAAGAATTACACCTAAAAATACATAAGAAATTGCACCTAATTTTCTTTCAGACTTTTCATGCACTTTCCCTGAAAGATTATCTTGAGTGAAATTTTACTATCTGGTCATGACAAGTAGACATGGGAAAAAAAATGTTGTTTCAATTTTGGTAAATGATTTTATATTTTCTTTTTTTGTCATCCCGTTATTTCTGATTTGGCTCTCTCACAAACAAATCACCAAAATATTTGGGTTGACTTTTAGTTGGTTTTTGATATTGAATAAAAATATTTATATGTAGAGATTTAACATTTTTTTTTTTCAAATATAGTGTAAACTAGCAATATATATATATGCACTGAGAATATAAAGAACCTGTATACTATCATTCAATCGTAAATTATTATTTATAAATAACTATTTTATAAATCATATCAACTGATTTCACATTAATTAATAGGTTTTTTTGTTCTGCCTATTTAGAAGTAAACTCTGAATCTTAAACCTTATATTTTCTTCATTTATCCAAATAAAATACAAGATTGCGAACCTTAAACCTTGAGATTGTTTTCACTACTAGGTTGTAGATCAAACGTGTTCCTTAGGATTGGGGAACTTTTTCTTGTCCATATTAAACGAAAGATGATTCATATATTGAGAACTCTGACAATCGTAACTAATAATATAATAATAGTTATCGAATAAACTACTCCTCAAAAATCTTGTTTAAGCATTTTATTAAAATTTTATTTTTTTAATTAAAAAATCACGTTTTAAGTTTTAGAAGAAATTTTATATTTATACAAGCTAACTTTTTTATATATTGATAATATATTTTTTTATATAATACATTTTATATATTAATATTTTATACAACTATTAATATTAATAATACATTTCATAATAAACAATGTGAATTAAAATTTTAGAAGTTAAATATATTAATTTATAATTAACTTATTATTATTATTATTATCATCTATATTTCCACTTTTACTTGTAAGGAATAAAAATATTAGTTTATTTAATATAAATGTCATTATTATAAAGTACATTAAAAGAAATACAAAAGCTGAAATAAAGTAAAATAAAACATAAAATCCAGATTTATAATATTATTTAATATAAATTATTAGTAGTATAAAATTTAAAATAGTTATTATAAAAATTAATAAATTTATTAAATACAATAATTTATAATTAAATACATTTTTTTAATTTTTAATAGTTTACTATTTTCAATTAAATTTTAATTATATATTTTTTTAATTTATAAAGCTCAAAATTTGTATTATATTTGATAAGTTCAAGTTTAGATGTATTTGAATTAATTTTTTTCTCTCTTTTATATTAAATAATTGGAAAAAAAATATTAGAGTTTTGTTTTTTGGAAGAGAGAGTCATCATATCTAGCCATTAATAAAATGATTATTTAATATAATGGCACAAATTTTCAATGATTTTAATTTTTTTTTTCATTCGTTATATATTATATTTTTATTGATTTTAGTTTATATATTTTTTAATCAATTGATATAATGAGGAATTATTTATAATTTGTATGTTTTTATTTTTAATATAATAGCTTATTATTTTTTGAAATTTTGGTATTTTTTAATATTGATCTTTAAAAATAAATAATACTTTATGGAACGATCTTTTGTTGACCTCATTAAATTTATTAACTTATTTATAAATTCCTCTTCAAAACAAGCTACTAAACAAAATTTAAGGACTTTTAAACAACACAAACTGAAAATTAAATAAATTACATAATAGATAAATAGGTTTGATATAAACTTAATGATAATTACAATAAGTCCATCAAAGCTTTTTGTCTTAAATCCTGACCTAACATGAAGTGAAACAAAACTAATCATTTCCTAACAAAAGGCACAAAGGAACTTTATTTCCTAGTAAAAATAGAAGGAGCAGAGGAACTTTATGTTTGACATTTTTCTTGCACTTATTATGCTACTTGTCAACCATAATCAATTAATCAATGATGATGCATTTAAAATCAATTTTGGGTGGAGAAATACAAGGAAACACTATTTGCCACAAGAATGTTGAAAAGAAAAAGAAAAAAGTAGAAGGTTTGAACTAAGTAAGAGCCGTGTCTTTAAAAAAAAAAAAGTTATCTAACATAATTTATAAGTTAATTTCCCCTTTCACTGATTTTACCCACTTCTACGAAAGTTGACGACAAATTGACGTTTCAAATTAGGGCAATAGTCAAGAGTCAATGCCACGTTCTTGAAACCTTTCGTGAAAGACAGTTCAATAATTTGGATTTTAAAAGTTTATTATTGCAAATGCGTAGTTGTTTAAGCCTTTAATTATTTGTTTCAAATGAGAGCAAGAGTCAAGGCCACGTTGTTGGTAAAATCTAAGGGCTATTAAAGATAGTCTGGTAGCAGCTAGAGAAGACAAGACCATTTGAATTTGAAGTTTATTCTAGTGGTGGGTTATTGTAACTCTATTTCATAAAAAATTATTTGTCTAAGTAGCTATTATAGGATCTATAGCAACTAAAAAAAATCACTTTATTGTTTATTAATATGCCTTAAAATCACATTCTTTAATTACAAATCAGTATCCTATCCACTAGGCATCTATTCAAGTGTTGTACCATATTATGACAAAAAAAAGAGCATACATATTACAATTTTTTATTTTCATTTCGAAAGCTTTATTCTATTAATTGGTATAATCTAAACATGCAATCTAGATATAAATCTTGGAATTTATGATTATGCTTATAAAACAAATTACTTGTATTTCATTAGATGATCGTATGTTCTATCATCCAATTGCCAAGTTGCATTCTTCTTTATCATTAAGTTATAAATTCCGTATATTTAATGTTGGATGCCATAATCTTCACAATATTTGCTGAGTAATCGTTCAAAGCGTACTTCATACCTCTATTTGGTCAAGGTTTGTTGATTTGAATCCTTGTTTGATTCTCCATCGTGAACATGAATTTCTAATCGTGCCTTGATGGGTATTGTTCAAACAACTTTAATATTTTTGAAATATTAAAAACGTGTATGTAGCCCGTTGATATGCACTGGGCTAAGTAAGGTCCACTAACCCAAAAATCCACAACCCAAGTTCCATATGCATGTTCTACCAAGGGTTCACTTCTACTACGTACTAAACCATACGTCATGTATATCCTCAATGCGTCAATCCACTATGTTTCATAATTTAGGGTTAAGTTTTGGTAGGTATGCAAGGAAAAAGACGAAATGTGGCTATATTTTCTGTGTATGGTTTCATCATGAAAAGAAGACTAAAGATGCACGTAACAAAATGAAAGTGCTTCTCCCCTTCACTACAGAAATCCACCACCTTCACTTAGACTAGTACTATATGCTTCAACCGATCTAAAAAACTCCTCATTTGACCGTACGTACAAGACATGAAGAAGGAAGATGATTAAGACTGGGGACACTCCCATGTGGGAAGAGGTGGAAGATAGGAAAATGCACGTATAGCAAGGGTCGACCCTTAGTAGTGAGTGATGAGTGTATTAGTGCCTCTTGAGAGACTCAACCTTCATTGTGGACCGTTCTTGTGCCATCTCCCCTTTTATTTTGTCACCATTTGCAATTGATGCCGATGGGGGACCCCTTCCCGTCATTAACCTTACTTTAATTAATCAACCATATATATCAACTACCACACTCTTTTCAGCAATTTATTGTTTTATAAAGTGTCACATAACTCATACCTATCTTGTGTCATTCTATTGCCAATTGGACCCATGCATGGTGCTTATCCCTATTTTAATATCACAACTTGTGGGTGTCCCTTACATGCTCTTAAAACCTCTTTATCCAAATCTCAAAGGGAACAAATAAAAATAAAAAATCCTTATCCAAAACCTCTGTTTCATGTCCCTTTTCAAGAGTCGTTTAGTGTATATCCCATGACACCATTTCTTATCCAAAACATTTATGAACCTCACTGCATCCACACTCAGTGATGATTAGCATATAGCAAACAAAAAGAACTTCCACCAAACTCAAAAGAAAAAGGAATCTCATTTTATCCATGAGTAGCAAGCATATAACATGAAAGTTTTTAAAAGTAATAAACAAATTGTTGGATAAAAATTACTTGCAAGTAAAAATCTTAAACAAAATGATAAGATATGGATCTATATTGTTATGGTTGATCTATCTTATTAGTGTGCCCTTTTCAAATTCCATACATAGACTGGGTGTCATTGTCTATTGAATTCTAGCAAATGACTTCCCTCCTCCAATTGCCAATTCATGACCCTTTTCCTTTTTTGTGCTCATTGGGACAACAACAAATCTGAGCTATTTTAGGGTGACCTAGTTTAGGTCCAACAAGATAAGAAGATAAAGTCACATTCAGATAACATAAGGTGAGATATGGTGAAGTTTTTCTCTATCTCCTTTGCTAAGTCCTTCCCAAATGTATACCTATGCTATATATACCCACAAGGAACCACTAACTCTAATCCCCATAAAACAAGAGTCAAGATTGGACTCGCCTCATTGTTTTGAAAGTCAGAGTTACATGTAAGATCCAATATGCTTTATCTTTTGATTTATCATACTCTTTTCTTGCGAAAGTGAGTTTTATTTTCTTCAAAACGATATTTCTTCTTACGTAATGAAATGTCATCTTTTTGTGCTATGTATATATATCTGTGTCTTATGAACAATCAAATCAATATTGTTTTCTTTCATTACTTGTTTAATTTGACCCTCACGGATCCTATTAGGCCAAGCTGGTGATAATCTTTGTACTGGATTAAGAATGCTTAAGATATATGTTTCAAATAATTCAACTTTTTCAATTGAAATTTTATATTTAAAAGATAATCTATCTCTCACACGCAATCTAATTCATCTTTAAAAATTAAAAAACACTGCATCTATTTTTTGGTGTCCAAATCAGTGTTCAACTGTGAAAGACTTAAAAGGAAGCTCTTATTACAATTTTAGTTCTAATATTGTTTTCGTTTGTCACTAAATATACTATGTAAAAAAAACATTTTCTTTTATTTCTGCTAGAAATAAGGGGTTTTCACATTATTATTCCGATAAAATAGTTAATTAGTAATAATTTTTAGGTCTTTAATGGCCAAATGTAAATGTAAGCGGACAACAAGAAAAAAGGGAAGATTTTTGAGAAAGATTTTCGAATAATTAAATCAATATTAATAGAAAGAGAATAATAATATAAAAGTATGCAAGAATATATATATATATATATATATATATATATATATATATATATATATATAAATTTTATAACAATTTAAATAATATTTTTTAAGAAAATGTCTTATAATATTTTTTATATTATATATTTTTAGTGAGTACTCAAAATTATTCAAATATTTTAATCGGATAATATTTTATCTTTAATAACATTAATTTCATAAATTTTATTAATTATGTGAGTGGCGATAAATCGGGCTAGATATAATTTTTTTTAACTTTTAAAATAATTATTATCAAAATCAACAATTTTTTATACATTACAACATATAATTAGATAGCACATCATCTTTAAATTATATAAACATATTTCCTTTTCTACCAAATTTTTTATAAAAACAAGATTCATTGTTTTTTTTAATATAGATAATTTTACTTTCAAACGGTACTTGATTACATTACTTACATTAATTTATTTCTAAATTTAAATTATGTCCTCCATTTGTTGCTAAAAAATATGCCCTCTCTACAACGATTTTTCAGAAAACAATTTAATTTAATAAGCGTTACTTTACTTACATTAATTGTTTCTAAATTTTTAAGGTTAGATTATGCCCTTTATGTTGATTTTATTGAAATTTTCATTAATTTGTTTTCTTTTTAAACAAAAGTAGAGTATGTTTCACAATATAAAGAACTTGTTAAAGATTATTTTCACTAAATCTAAACCAAACGAACTTAATATCTAGCACAATATTTTAAAAACAAAACTATTTTTTAAACTATAAATGTTAACCATACATTTCTTAATATTCTCTGTATTATTTTATTGAAATATACCGAAAATTAGAAGGTTTTGTAGATCCTGCTTTTTTTTTTTTTGATAACTTTCTCTTCTAATATATAAGTAGAATTTATCAAAATTAGGGTAAAATAGATGGTTGGAAACAACTTTTCTAAAAATTAAGTTTTAGGACAAAGTTTTTTTAGACATATATCAATATTTAACCTTAAAATAAAGATATAAAATGGTATTTTGAATAACTAACATAAATCTTTTAAAGAAGTAAATAATTGTAAAATTTAAACTAATCAGTATTTATAGATTTATTGACCTTGAACTTTGAAACATGGGTGCACAACAAGTCAAAACCAAACGTCCCCAAGAAAACAATGGCCATAAGGGTAGGTTTGTCATTATCCACAAAGGTATCAAGGTGGTGGACCCCACCTGACCACGTGGCATTGATCTGTTTAGCCTCTTGACACTATGAAGGTCTAGAAGCTGATCAAACAGAGAGAGGGACACTATCCTCTGTTCTCTGAGTTTTTCAGACGTGAGAAAAAGAGGGAAAGGAAATCACAAAATTTACATTAAAGTACGAAAAATTTCACCAAAGAACCTTACTTAATGAGTGTGAGCAAACGTTTTGTTTACAACATTTTCTCTCTCTCTAGTCACCACCTTTTCACGTGTCCTTCTCTTACCTTGTTCTGTTTTGTTCGCTCTGTTTGTTTCCTAGGAAAAGGAAAAACCTCAATTGGGTTCCTTCGTTTTTCTTATTTCCTTGTTCTCATATCAAGGTTGTTCTGAGGTGGTGTTTGGAGTTTCTTTGTGGGGTTGTTTTTACGTGAAGTTTTAACCTTGTCTGAAGGGGAGAGGTAGAGATTGTTGACACAGAGGTTTAAGGGTGGTCCTAGTTTAAAAATGGAAGGAAGGAAGCAACTGGGTTCTTCTTCTTTTACTTCTGAGCTCTTTGGGTCTAACCAGTCCCAGAAATCTTCTGCAACTGGAATTTTTGAGTCTATGTTTTCTCAACCGTCTCAGGTGTGATGTTTGTTTGGTTTGATTTTGATGGTTCAATTTAATTCAATATCCTTTTGCTGTTTGTGCATTTCATGCTTGGCATGAAGGCTTTTGCTATGTTTTATATTGGCTTTGCTGTTTGCTATGGATTATGGGGTTTTATTTAACGTTTGATATGTATCAAATTGTTTTAATCATTGTAAGTTATAGTCAATTTCAGCTTCTCAGTGAGTTTAATTTATTGTAAGAAGAAAGAAACAATGAGCATCTTGACCTTGATCATATTGCTATTTCCATTATCATCATTGTCATTTTGTGATGATTCAGGTGTTAGGGAGAGAGTCTCTGCGTTCCGAAGTGAGTGAGAAAACTGCAAGTGACGGTTGGAGCTCAAAATTTGATATTCCCGGTTAGTATACTCTGGTTCGGCTACTCTTCTTACGAGTTTTGTTAAGTTTCTATAAATTTATGGCAATGTTTAAAATGTAATATTAAAAAATATATCACAGTAGCACGTTCCCTATTGGCTCTATTTTGTTGCCAGTTTAGAATTTTCCTTTATTGTGTCTCAGTTATATGCTTATTTTATCCTTGGTAGTGTATCCTTGATTCAATTCACCAAATTACTTTACAGTCCAGAGTTCTGAGGACCAGTTATACTTCATATTAACAATTTTTATAAATACTTTGTTTAAAAAAAAACTCGTTATTTAGTCGAGATATTTGCATACGGATGAAATCATACGTAATGGATATGAATGCAATAGTTCAATAACTTCAAAGCTTCAGATTATTCATTGGAGAAATAAATAGTATTGTTTTTCAAATTTTCTTTGGTATGAATACAGATTACAGTACCAATGGAAGTGGTGCTGAAACGCAGAACACAGCACATAAGGATATGAGTTCTATATATCAGGAACAAAAAGTTCAACCATGTCAGCTTAGCTCATCAATTCATTATGGTGGCCAGGACATTTATTCTCGTCCTAAGAGTACACAGGATTCAGGATTTAACTCTTTGGTGATTATACTTAACATTGTCTGTAGTTATACTTCGGTTATTTCAAGACCGTGTAACCAAAAGATCAGAGTAGATCTGTGTGTTTGAAACATTCATGGCTAGCTAACTCAAATCAAATGTAAATATTTTGCATTGGAAAGATTAGTTACTAGATTATCTTGTTAAACCGAGCCCTATATAGAGTTCAAGACAAATTGAGATATCTACCCCAAGAGTAATTAGTTCTTATTTGTGTTTGTTGTATTTTATTTCGTTTATATTTTTTCACACTAGTAGGAAAGCCTAACAAGTGTTTTTATATAGATGTACAAGAAAGATGGGGTTGAAGATGATTCGGGAAGTGCTTCAAGAGGAAACTGGTGGCAAGGTAAAACATATTTACCTGTCTAATAGAGATTTGTAGTGTAAATCTCGCAATTGGCTTACTGTTCTTATAATAGTCAGTCACAAGTTTCTTATTTCTGTCTTGTAATTTCTATGCCCAGGGAGTCTGTATTATTAAGATCACAGTTGCCAAGGGATATGCTCCTTAAGGTATACGAGTTTCTTACAGCCTTTAGCCTAATGATACTCTAGATATTTGATTAACTTTCCTTTCCTTAAACTTTTACTCTCTTGGTATAGTTTATTTGAAATCAAATAAGCCTTGGAAAATTAACAAAAGGATTATGAAGGATTTGAAATCAACTAGGCTGAATCAGAAACTAGAAGAAAAACATGGAACCTACCCTGCAATTGAGGGGGATAAAATAAAAGTAAAAATACACCGTAGGTGATAAGTGTCATGAAAGATAGTAATTAGGTGATGTGGTAATAGATTTGTGGAGTATAATTTATGCAATTCCTGTGAGTTTTTATGTTCCATTGTGATTTAGGTACTGTGGAGGGTTATATACTAGATTGCGTTATATCTTCTTGTTTAGGAAATATTTGGTAAGATGTGTAAATAGGCAGCATACCCTGTTCCACAATTGCATGATATAGAAAACCATAAGCAAAAATGTCAGAAGGAGAAGGGTTACGAGGACCTTATCCAATGTACAAACAAATGCAGATACATTTAATCATGTTTTTGAACTACTGTTCTTGTTTCCTGTTTGTCATGTAACATCTTTTGATTTTATGACTTGTTATTAATCAGCTGTCTGCATTTGTGCAGGTAGATAGCAGGATAGTTTACCAGTTTAGTCCATCTTTTGTTGTGTGGACAAGTTATGAATAGTGAAAACGTTGTGGATGGCTTGGCTAGTTGCTTTCTTCAGCCAAAACAGAATCACTATTAGAACATGTAGTATCATACGCATTTCTTTCCAGTAACCTGTAAAGAGTATAGTACTCAAAACAATGGTAACTTTTGGTAATGCAAAAGTTGTATCCTATTTATAGGAACTTCATGCATCATCATTAGCTACGCTCTTACGTGGCTAAAGCTTTCAAGTAGTTAACTTTAGTGGGAGAAACCCTCTTTTACTGGTTTCCCCTCTACTTTGTATTTCAGGTGTTGTAAGTGAGAATTGATCGTTTATGTATATGCACTTGTATCATCTACCTGCTCTTATGAGGTTGAACTGAAGGACTGAAGTGCTCTTATGTATATGCACTTGTATCTAATGAGTGAAATCCCCTTTAGTGCTTACCTTTCTATTATTTATTTTGATTTTATCTTTTATTTCTGACCAAGAAGCTTTGCATGATTTTTTATCCATACTAACAGTATCTTTTGGTAAACTTTTGATTCTTGGATTTTTAATTTTATTTTATTACATTTTCACCCTTAGAAATATTAACTGTTATTCTAATTAATTTTAGAGTTTATTATAAAGGAATTTGATTTTGTCATAGTTTTCAGTGGTCAATTCTCTATCAATGTATACTTTATTTTTTAAAATGGACATGCTATAAATGGAACTTTGAAGAATTTATACAGTCGGCGAACTAGAATGGCTTTAAATGTGGTTTGACACTCTTCTACGTATTGATAATCGTTCCGTAATATTGTTAATCAATTATGATTTTGAAATTTTTGTGGGTCGATTTTAACCTTTAAAAAAATGTTACGATGGTTTTAAAATTCTCGTCCGGTACAGTATTTTGAAAGACGTCTTACAGTATTATTTAAAAGACATTTTTGTAACTTATTTTAAAAGCGTTGATGGATATAAATTATCTTTTACATTGAAACATGTATTTTTTATTTAAGTTAACAACTATAAATTTTACATTTTAAATTCTAGTCTTAACAAGCTGTAAACACATTGATTATAGCACATCTTTCTTCTTATAATAGGAGACGTATAAAACAAGTACATTTTATTCAATTACTTTTGAGAAAATAAGCTGTTACAAGCACTCCAAATAGTTTTCAAACTGAAAATCAAGGATCACCAAACCATCCCACTAATAAAACAGTGAGATTCTTAGTCATTGTTGCAGCACATACTCATTGATGTGTAGTAGATATTGCAGTACTAGTTGGAATAATGACAGGGAATTATAGGTTCATGAATCATGTTTGTACTCTATGGAAGCCAAGAAAATGCCACGCACTGCTACAAGTTAAAACACGGGTAAGATGGTGCTTGCAATCATATCTATGTAGTAAAATGTTGCAACAATTCTGTAACCAACTTGTCCACTCATCTTCAATTCTCCTCCTGCTTCCAAATTATTTATGCATCCATGGGACAAGACATCTAGCTGTCCTTGTCTCTGCTCGTTTCAAAGATTACCTATTATATTGTAAAAAAATTAAATACGAAAAATTACATTATTGATTATTTTTTAAGAAGAATAAAAATAAAGTATTTAGTAATTATACTCTTAAACCTTTTTAATATATCACAAGTGTTTGTGCCAAAAAGTTTGGATTATGAATTTCTTATCAGTATCAGATATTATTCAATTCAAATTGTAATACTAAGAAATGCAAATCAACTTATAAAATTCAGTCAGTTAGTTGATCCTTACATATTAGTGACCATTTGGTTTAGTGATGCTAATAATAGTTTCTAATTAAGTTACTAATAACTTTTTCTCAATTTAATGAACATATTTTCAATTTATAAAAACTAAATTAGTGTGAATATAATTTATTTTGTACACTTTGTTAACTATGAAATTTGAAAAATTATTCAGTTAAAACAAGAAAAACAAAATTATTTTATTTTTTATTATAAAAAATAAAAATTCATAAAAAAATGCAAACCTCATCATCAAATTATGAGAATATATTGCAAAGAGGAATATCCCATTATCACAACATAAATAATTAATTATATTAAGTAGATAATGATAATGTTATCTTTCTGGTTTGTTTTATTATTATTATTATTATTATTATTATTTGTTCATTTTCTTCACACTTCAATTCAACTCTCTTACTTTCTTTTTCTCTTCTTCTGTTTCTACTCTAAGAAACACTCACAAAACATTTTCTAACAGATTATGCTATGTTTAAAACAGTTTAAGTCATGAATAGATAATATTAAGTATTATAGCAAACTTTGGTAGGGTGATTGAAGGATGATGTAAAAGAGTTAAGAAGTTAAATGGTACATGAAATGAAACACAGAAAGTGCAAGTTTTATTCATGGTGTACACTAGTAAAAGCTGGTAGCTCTTATTCACACTAGAGTTACAACAAACATGAAGTCTATCACAGTTTGTAGCAGCTAACAGCTTTAGTGTATTTAGGCCCTGTCTTCTTTCTTTTCCTCAAAAAACCTTCACTCTTTTAAGGCAGAGTGTAAGCTGCAAAAAGTACCATTTTATATCAGAATTTGCATGCACATATTTTTACTTAAAAAATAATGAAGAGTAATGTTAGCAACATATTATTTGAAACCCGTTTTAATACTTGTTTCTGTTCATATATGTTAGAACATTTTTACAACATATATTGTCTCTTCTTCTCATTCAAATTATCTTGTATTTTTATTGATTTTCTTTCTATCTCTCTCCTTAACAGAAATGGTTCTGATACTAACATTTTTCTCAGTTTTTTCTTTATTATATACTGAAATTGTATAATAACTTTCTTCTAAATAATTTGGTCCACTAGATTTGTTTTAATGAGTCAAGACTTCATAGCAAAACTATTCTTTTAAAGGAAAGGAGGAAACACTTTGGAAGAAGATATTAAATATATTCGTTCATTATAAGATAAACTATTATGATTTTAACAAAATTAATACTTTATCATACATGGTATAACAATTTATCATTTTTAAAATTAAAAATTGTAAATTTTATCCATATGAAAAATTAGTAAAGAGTAAAAGTTAAGGGTAAAATGTGATGTGTATTATCATTTTTATGATCAAGATCATGATATCATTATATATGTACTGATACTTGATTATAAAAGATATTATATCATGTTAATTAAATATTTTATCTATTATTTTTAACAACAAAGTGTTATTACAAAGATATTATCGTGTTGTTTGTTTTAAAATAAAAGAATATATTTTTAATGGTATAATGATTATAACCGTTCACTTCTCAATTGTTTTATAAGAATAAGGGAGAACAAAACTTACGCCCACACTTGTAACCAACAGGGCGATTAGCCAGGTTGCAACGCTTGGGGATGGTGACAGCAATCTGAGGATTCACTCCAGCCATTTTTGCTGTGTTAGACAGCAAAACTGCACAGAGACAGCTAGGATTCTGCCCTATTTTCTTCACCTGGGCACAGCAACTCTGAGAAACACTAGCATTCTCATCCTGTGCTGCTGAAGCACATGGAGCAAGCTTAATAGCTTCATTATCTGGGGTAGTAGATTTCCCACATTCTCCAGCACTATCCACCCCTGCAACACTCAAAAGCACCACAAATCCAACAAGGCATACGAACTTCACAACACCATCCATTACTTCTATATATCAGTTAAACTGGTTTTATCTTTTGCAGTGCCATAACCTCTGATGGGGTTTTATAGCCCAGTATGCTTCAAAAAGTATATGGTAATGGAACTTGCACTATGACAAAAAGAGGGTTTATTATTGCACCACTTATGAAAAATAAAACAAAAGTTAGTGTAAACACAATTTTGTTCCACTTATTGTCCAATCAAGGTAGGTGTGCCTTTGCCAACAACACAAATTCTTTTGTTTTCCTTGTTTCCAGATAGCCATTATCCACAGTTTAATGCCCACTTCATCCTCAATCAATTGCAGAGCCAATATATTTTTTCAAAACTTGACACCAACTTTATCCCAACTACCACCGCCCCCTAACACTACACTTGGACTAACATAACATATCAAAATATACGTTCACCTTATTTGTTTATGTGTATGAACTATTAGAGGTATAAATATATTCAAACTACTATAATCAAGAGTCAGCTAGATTAACGAAATATCAAAGTTATTATAAACTTTGTTACGTGCATTCAATTCCGAATAAAAAAATTGTATATAATGTTTCACCAATATCCATCTAAGAGAAGTCTTGGTTCAAAAGTTATATAAATAGAAAAAATGAGTTATTAAAAAAAAATTTGGTAAAGTGAAACAAATTAATTAATAACTAAATTGATAATATTTCGATTGTAACAAACTATATCATTGAAACTCATCCAAAGTAAGCATAAATATTAAACAAATTAATGTGTAATGTGAACGATGGTTTTGATTTACTATTAATATCTTTTTGGTACAGGTTTTATATGTTTATATTCTATATGCTGTTTTTAATTCTTATATGATATAGCGAAATCATTTCTAAATATATAAAATATATATGATATATTAAGGACTTAAAGTTTAGATAAATATGAAAAATTATAAAACATTTATAGATGTAACTCATATGAAACGTGGAAACAGCATATTAAGATATATTTTTAGTTATTGTTACGGTTTCAGATCGGGATCTACTTTATAGTTTTAAATCTTCACTATCTTAAATTTTGATGGTAGAGTAGGTTAGATAGAGCATATTTAATAACCCAAAGTATGTGATATTTAAATGATTTCGTCCATCACAAAGTTTCAAAACGTGAAAGTCGGTGATAAATGTGATATCATACATTTTTCATAATTGCTTTGATATTGTGAAAATGGATAATGTAATGTCAGTTAAGTGCTATTCGGTATTAGTTCATTTATCCTATTATCAATTATAATAATAAGTTTAATATATGAATTATGGTGATAGATTCTTTAATAATGAGTATTATTTTTCATATATCACAATATATTTAATTTCTGGTAAAAAAATTTAATTTTAATGAATAAATCATATATTTATTCTAGGTAATAAAATTTCTCAAAATAAATAAATAAATAAATATATATATATATATATATATATATATATATATATATGTAGGATAAATGAGAAAAACATTAAATTGAATTTTATTAAAGTAGAATTATTAATACTAAGTCTCATTTATGTTATATGAACCTTAAAATTCTTTGATAATATGCATTTTGTCAAAGTATCCAGAATCATCAACCTCTACATTAATGTGTTCATTGTTTTCTTATCATGTTTTCGTATGGCTAGTTATTTAACATAGTAATGTTTACTTTGACTTCCACTTTTATTGTTCTTAATCATAAACATTATAATAGAGTTATCATAATATAACTTTAATAGTTTAGCAATGAAGTTCACAACTTTAAGTATGAATATAAAACTTTAAAACCATACATCATGTGAAACTTCAAAATAAGAAACAAATTCAACCTCCATAGTGGAAGTAGTAATGAAGGTCTATTTTGTGTTGCTTCAAGATACAATCCACAAGCTAGCATGAAAACATAATCAAATATAGATTTTTTTTATATCAATGTAACTAGTAAAGTCTGAATCAAAGTAGTTTACCTCCAAACACTAGTACACAAAAGATTTTTTATGTTTGTTATATTGGGTTTTGCACATTTAATTAAATTCTGACATCAATGTGGGAGATATAAATTTATATCGAAGTAATTAATTAATATAATTTTACATCAAATACTTTACAACCCTAACTTAAATGTCGCCTTTCATCTTAATTCCTCACAACACTATCTTGCACCATAGTAGAATGTGTCACCCTCTATGCTCCATCCTCCATTTTCACCCTTATTACCACTTCCTACATTTTCATCATCACCAACCACACCACTTTTAGAAATGTCTTGCACAAATGCTACCTCACACTTTGCCCCACCCTTTAGATCATAACCTCATCATGTTTAAGCATGTGACTTCTCAAACCCATACGCTTTTCCAAGGTGGCCACCATTGTGGCCACGGCACTGGTTGCATTTTCAGTGGTCTTGCCTTGGCCTCATTCTATGCATGTGATGGTTAAACACTTGTACACCTAATTTTAAAATTAAGTACTAAAAATTACAATCTCATCAATATTCAACAACAACAATTCAATAGAGACATTCATATATTATTATGATTGAGATCTCCAAAAATAATCATGACTTCAATTTCAATTAAAATAACCAAATCAAACTAAACTGGATCAGATGGTTTAATAAGATCGGACCCAATTGAATTGAATTGAACCATATCGACTAGGCTAGATCGAACCAAATAGATGATTTAACCAAATTAGATATTTCAATCGGACTAGACATAATTGAACTAAACCGACAAACCAAGTCGAACTAAACCAAACCATTGAACTGAATTGTATCAACCATATTAGACTGAACTATCTGAATTGAATCAAATTGGATGTTTCAACTGGACCAAACTATTTAACTAAATTGAACTAACTTGACTAACTCGACCAACTCGAACCAAACTAAACTAGAGCAAATTTAATCGAATCGAATGGTTCAATTGAACTGAACCAAACTGAATTGGACCAAATGGTACAACCAGTTTGAACTAAATCGAACTAAACCACACCAGACTGAACTGAACCAAATCGGAATAGACCTAATCAAAGCAAACCAAACCAAACTCAATTGAACCAAACTTAAGTATATCGGTCAAACCAAATTGAACTATACAAATCGAACCAAATCATACCGGATGTTTCAACGAGATCAAATTGTTCAACTAAATTGGACTGAATCAAACTAACTTGACTGAACCAAACCAAACAAAACTTGAATGAATCGAATTGGACCGATGGTTCAATTGGACTGAACCAAACTGAATCGAATCATACCCAACTAAATCAAACTGAGTTGGACCAAAATGAACTGAATCAGATGGTTCAATTGGACTGAACCAAATTGAACTCAATCGTACCCAACTAAATCAAACTGAATTGGACAAAACTGAATTGAACTAGATGGTTCAATTAGATTAAACTAAACCAAAACTAAATTATACCCAACCAAATCAAACTGAATTGGACCAAATTGAACTGAACCAGATGGTTCAACCAGTTCAAACCAAACCAAACTAAATTACATCGGACCAAATGGTTCAACTGGACCGATCCGAATAATATCGAACTAAAAAAAATGGACCCATTCGAGTTGAACCAAACCGAACTGGATCGAACCCAATATAACCAAACTTAATTATATCGATCAGACTGAACCCAATAGAACAGGATGGTTTGATCGATCTAATCTAGATCAGAGCATACCAAAGCAAATCGAACTAATTGAATCAAACCAAATTGGACCAGATGGTTCAACGAATCAGACCAAATGTTCAATCGAATAAGATTTAACGGTTAGATAGGATCCAAAAATTGAACAGAATCAAAGTGAATCAAATCGAACCAAACTTGACCTAACCCAATTGGACTGAATCAAATTGGACTAGATGATTCAACAAACTAAACTGGATTGCACCAAACTAAACAAAACCAAATTAGAGCAAAATGGTAAAACCAAACCAAACCGAATGGTAACCAGAATAGAGCTAAACCAAATCGAATTAAATCAAACTATATTACACCAAACCAAATTAAAGAAGATTGGATCATTAAACTAAACTAAATGGTTCAATGAAACTAATTCAAACCAAAAACCAAATTGGATCCAATCGAACTAAATCGACCGAACCAGAAGAAATCGAACTCAACATTCCATTTAGAATCGATCTTAGGAAATTCAATTAAATGTAATCTTGATTGAACTTAGACTAAAAAGTAACTATACTAAAAAGTTCAACTAAACTTTACGAATTGGTTCAACCGAATTGAACTTGAGGATTCAATTAAATCGAAACAGATCCAACTTAACAGTTAAATTCAACCAAACCAACCATTCTGGTATAACATTGATATGATAACATTTTCATAACTCTCGTAATGATAAAAATGGACCCATTAATGTAACGTGAGTTTGTCGCTTACAAATTAAAATCAAGAAGCTGCTTTTATCCCATTGATAAAACTATCAAAATTATAAATCACTACCTCTATTGCCCAAAAATATAAGTAATATTAATCTTATTCTCCTCTTTAGCATAACTTATTAAGAAAATAATATCCACTTTTCTTTTAAAAAAGACAATACGCTTTTAAATCGTATAGATTTTATATTTAGTTGTATTCAATTTTTATAATTTTTAAACACTTAAATCTGGTATGTGCATAGAGATTGGGTTTGGTTGGACTCAGGTCCAATTGAATGAGTAAAGTGGGTCAAAACCATTTGGGAGAGATGGACTTGATTGATACTTAAGGGGCCCGACGCGTAGATAGTAAGGGGAAATTTGATTATAAAAGGGGAATGGGGAAAACCTAGAGAGAGGGCTCTTACTCTAGAACAGAACATTGGCGTCCACCGTGGGGCAGGTAAAACTTTTCTTACTCCACATTCAAAACAATTATGGTGACTCATACCAACAAACAATCAAGACCCTAATTGGATTTATAGACAAATTCCTGAAGGACTCGTTAGACGCACCCATTGTTCCTCTCTTGCTCCTTCATACTCCGTCT